AGATGAATATCCGACGAGTCGACCATTTTCGTGGCTAGCATGCCATCGTAGGTCAGAATATCGTCATGCTGGGCTAGGGCCTTCGCGCCGAGCGCCATTATCCGTGCAAGCTCCGAATGTCTGCGGCGGAGATATCGGGCACAACTACAGCCCAGTTCTAGATGAGTGTGGGCTAATTAATTCCGGTTGGTGGGCATAGACCGAGACGTTCCACGAACAAATACTTCACGACTAACTATGCTCAGCGAGACTTGGCTTGGGACAGATACAGCATTGGATTATTTCGCCAGCTTATGAGGGAAGTTAGGAGTTAGGAGCACTTTCGCACCCACTACGTTAGCCTACAGATTCGCTAGACGTACATGTAACCATGTTGCTAACAATAGCGAGCTCGGTCACAGCTTGGTCCCACAATCTCGTCCCTCCCAGGCGCGTACTCGGATCTTCCCGCATCCAGAGAAGTGCAAGCGCATGTCCGCGTCGGTGGCAATACGGTACGGTTATCCCGTACATTTTCCATTGTGTGTACCGGTCATGCGGCAATGCAGCGGCATCCGCGGCATCGCAAGCAGCACATTTCACCGCACTAGGCGTATACGGTAATGGGTAATGGTAATATAATGCGTATACGGTGAGCGGTCTTTGCAATTGAGAAGTTATTATTATTATTATTATTATTTAAATTTTGAATAGGCTTGTGATCAGGGAGTCGCCTCCATGATTGTGTTGTGATCCACATCACACACGGGGGGTGGGGGAGGGGCGGGGAAGGGGTGGGGTAGGGGAGGGGGGGGGGCGTGGAAGATGATTTGGACCGGAGGCAACAACGTTGTGAATGGCCAACGGTCTTCAGCGTTTGTTCAGCACCTCCATGAGCGACGCTGACTCACGCTGCTATCTGGTGTTCACGAGGTGTTTGTCACGCTGGAAACGGAGCGTCTCTGGTTTGGGCTGGAGGCAACAATGTTGTGAATGGCCAACGGTCCTCAGCGTTTGTTCAGCACCTCCACGGGTGACGCTGACTGACGCTGCTATCTGGTGTTCACGAGGTGTTTGTCGCGCTGGATACGGAGCGTCTCTGTAAGTTTGTATCCCTTGTGATGTTTGTGCCTGGAGAGCACTATATTAGTGGTGCTCTTTAGGCACAATCTTTCTCGGCCTACTCAAACTCAACTGATGAGAGGTGAATTTCCCGAAACACTGTGTATTGAGCAGGGAGTGGTGCTTTCTTGCATGTTTGCCGAGTGGAAGGTTCGATGGACTTTTCGTGTGCTCTGGATGGTAATCGTGAGTCAGTCAAGTGAGAACTCAAGTTGGCAGTAAGGGAGCAACACACAATTCCCCAATTATCGCCGAAGTGGCACCAACCTCTTCTTTACTACTAGACCTATTTAAACATTCTACTGCTGCTCCATAAAAATATAAAAACGACCAAGGAACTACATGTACAAGTACAGTAGTTACTACTACTAGACACTTTTGGAACTCTTGGGAAAAAATATTCATTAACAATGTGTTTATTTTGCCCGTAAAAGAGGCTGTTACTACACGTACTAGGCCTTGACAGATTATGCTAGCATAATTTTTCGCATAATTCCTACCAAAATCAAATAATCGCCTAATTCGAGGCAAATTGCATACGAATCGCATAAAATTGGAAAAATCCGCCTGTTCGCATCAAATTCCATACAGTTGTACATGTTCTACAAGTACAAGTAGATGCACCAGGAAGGCGTAGGTTTACGACTCCCTTGATAACATGTCCAGTCCACTGCAATCCGTGACCAGGGTGACGGTCGTAGCTAGGTCGGACGGTGCGTTGACCCCGTTGAACTTTTGCTACTACAGTACAACGCCCTCTACAAAAAATTCACCTGTTATTTTGCACAGAACCATCATCTACATTAGCAGCATATGTGAGCGTAATGCGGCATAATATGATAACTTTAGCATAAAAATAGCACAATTCTGCAATTTTTCAGCAATGCGAAAAGCAATGCTAAAAGCATAATTTCACGAAAATATTAGCATAATCTGTCAAGGCCTAACACGTACTAGGCATGTTTTTCGAATTTGACAGCATGTTACAAGACTACCAAGCAAAGCTTCTGTGTATTATACCATTTCCTAGACATCTACTACTACTACTACTACAACGTATTTAAAAACGTTGGGCTTTGAATAAAACAAGAGTCAAGCAAAAACTACAATCGTGCTTTGTAACTTAATGTAAGTGGAAACACCCATAGCAGCTAGAGCTGTTCGGAGATTGAGAACAAAAGTTAATAAGCATTTCTCGTATGATACGTAGGCATGGGCGGGTAATGCTAGTTATTTGCTGCGATAAGACTTAAATTAAGGCAATGCTCATAATATGACGATATAATGCCACTTATAATGCTCACACTACTCCATAATGCCAGTTTGAAAGTTGCAAAAGTCGATTTAAGAAGGCCATCTTGGATCAAGGCCAAAGCGTAGAAGAAAAAAAACTTAAACAGCAGTGAGCATGTTGTCTGAAACAATCCACTGAGAAGGTTGATTTGCAACGTCAAGTCTCCGGACGAAGCTGGAGGGGTTCAGATTCACGATTTTCGAACTGGACCTAGCCAGCTTCATGCATGACACCGTTGTCGACGGGCAATTATGCTTGTAATGCCAATTTTTGCATGCGAAATGGCTTATAATGCCAGACATAATGCTAGCATTACCCGCCCATGCCTAATGATACGTAGATTCCGGAACATCAAAAATGGCGAGTTCTCTGTCCACCCTGCACTCACTCGTTGCGCACCCATCCGCACACTCACTCATACGTGTACACCACTATTGAACACGTGAACATTGCCAGTGGGGGCCACCACAGCACAAAGACAGATTAAATATTTTTCTAAAAGCAGTGAAATTGGAACCTTACAAAACGTTATGCGTAGATGTATATGTACCTGGCATTAGGGTCCGGCGGATTCTGCCGGCAGAAAAATTGTCAGAATTCGGTACTTTTTCTGGTAAGTTTCATGCATGTTTGGTATGTGGATAAAGAAATGGAGCAGAATTCTAGGAATTGCCCGTCATAAGGTTTGTATGGTTCTGCCAATTTCACTGCTTTTCGAGCAGAATCTGCCACCTTTTCGAGCAGAATCCGCCGGTCCCTACCTGGCATAACGTTTTGTAAGGTTCCAATTTCACTGCTTTTAGAAAATCTGGATATGTGTCGTGCATTGAATGAAATCCAGGGCGCGTTCGAATTGTCACTCTTTGACTTTTCGAGGAGTTTCGTTTTTCTGAAGAGGTGGCCTTATTGGCGTCTTCTTCTTTTCTCTAACTGAACAGGACTGTAGAATTTGTCTACAAATTCTGGGAGTGGTATATCCCAGCAGAGGGCCACACGACCGAGTTCCACGAAAACCGCCTACATGTAGCGCTGGATGGCTCCCAAAAACCAACAGATTCTATCGCCAAGATCATGTCGAACAATCAGGCCATGCACCGGGTCATTGACTGTCGATATCAGGGAGTAGTAAATATGGAGTAGTACATATTTTACTACTCCCTGGTCGATATCAAATCTCATGTCTGGGCCATGGGATAGATTCTACGCCCTGAAAACGATCCTGCCAAGCGTGTACACGTTACAAGACGTGCTAACTGTATTTTATCGAAAACTGAGCTGTAAACTGAGCTGTAAACTGAGCTGTAAAGCAACACCTTCAAGCTAGTGGGGTACGGACTCACCTCGCTCGCGCCACGGAGAAACGGACTTCGGTGAACATGGTGAAACCATATCCACAAAGTCCAAGTCTTGACCTTGATTGGCGTGGCGGCAACTACAGTGCTGGCAACTGAAATCCGACCCCTGAGCTTGGCGCTCACATCGCAAAGACCCAACACGGGATAGTAAAACTACGAAAATAATAGAGACCGCTTTTTTTGTGGTCGGATTTCAGTTGCCTGCACTGTATGTAGAGTCTACGAGTCAGTGAGTACTAGTAACACGATACCTCAGCGTATTGCGCATTGGGGGTACATACATGCAACATGACATTGTATTCCTCACCTTTCACACCTGGCCTGGATCCCACTCCATCTCAACGTCTGTGAGGGAATGGCGCACCATCACACCTACTGCCTGAGGGCAGAACAAAATCAAAGCGTGCTTTGTGCAGAACTCTCATTCTAGCTCAGGTGTTTGGTGGAAGAACGCTCACTGCAAATCTTTTCTGCCGCACGACGTGTGCTGGAGCTTCTTCTTCCTCCTCCTAGGAAATTTGTTTGTTTTTGTGTGAGAACTTGCAAGTAGTAGGCAGGCATAGCTAGGGAAAAACACAATGCATGCTGTGTTTGATGTGCTTCCATGTGAGTCGCCAAGGGCGGCACCCGGCGAGCCATCTGCTGCCACGCTCAAACTCCTCAGCAGGTCACCGGGGCAAACACTCTCGCTCGCTGGCTCCGCTCAGGTTTGCCGCTTTCCCTACATGCTTGTTGCGAAAATTTCCGTTTCTTCTCCTTTCTCGTTGGGTAAATTAAAAGTAATGCCCGATGAAAAAGTCCAAATTTCTGTGACAAATTGTCTTTTGAGCGTGGGCCTTTGCCTTCGCTGTTTTGTTCAGTTTCTCCCATTTTACTTCTCTTGTTTCCAAGTCAGGTCCGGTGTTGTTGTCCTGCCAAAACATTGAAGTTTTCGGTTAGGAGTCTTTGAGTGCAAAATACTTTGTAGCCAGTCTTAATTTACCCAGGCGTCACCTCTGATAAAAGTACTCCTGTGCCGAATACGTATTGTCTTCCTCCACAAGGGGGCGGTATAGACACAGTAGTTGGATTACAGTTCCGCGGTGTAATTTTTTTCTTGTAGTGTGGGTATACGGAACTGTAGGTATTGTTTGGTCTTACTACTGTAGGTTGGGCCGGGTGATGTTAGCTTTGGTCTGGTCTTTTTCCCTAGTGGGGGCGTTTCGAAGATGCACATGCAATGTGGAGCTGTGGAGCTGAGTGCAGTGGCACAATTGTAGAAGTACATTGGGTTGGTGATCTCCTATCCACTATACTTATGGATTAGTTGATCTGGTGTAATGGTTTTATGATGATAAAGGCTGGGTAGTTAGCTATGAAGGAATAGGAGTGAGCCAGTGGGTTGTAGTGAAACCTGATAGGGTACGCGGTTATTGGGGGAGCGTGGGAGAAATCGTATCAATTTTGACGGAGCACACTGACGTAAAATTTGGTGGTTATGTCACCCTTGAAGTGGAGTTGGGCAATGGCATCATAATGAGTATGGCAATAGAGGGCAATGGGGACTGTGAGGTGGTGGTGGGTAGCTTGCGGATAGAGTCGATACTGATTTGGCACAGGAGAAAAAGTTTCAAAAATGGCAAGATCTTCATCTTGTGCAAAAATGTTAGAAATTGCAGAAATTCGATCCACAGTCCAGTAGTATTCCAGCAAAATCAGCTGGACCTGACTTGAAACGTTTGCTTGCTTGCTGGCTGGCTGGCTGCAACATTCCTTCAGGACACAACAGAATCACACGATGCTTACTAGTAAATCAAATCAACCATTCTACTTACCTCTCATTCCTACATCTCAGTGCAATACATCATTGCTTCAGCTCACAAATACACACCTAAAACTAACGTTCCATGCACACACAAACATACGCACGCACATCCCACTCACACAACACATTTGGCTGCTGCTTGCTGAAAGCCCACGCCCCGGTGACCAAAGCATCGTCGGACTGGCTGAAGGGTGGCAACGTCGCTGTGCAGCAGACAGCCATCTTCTAATGCTATCGCTCAGCGCTGGGACACGCTAGCTGAGTCAAGTCGGCAGCCGTTAACCACCAGTTGGTAAAGCTCGTAAGACCACCGGTTCGGTGACCTATGTGTGTTTCTATTCCCACATTTCTAGATAGGCATTGACATTCATTATTGACATTCAACATTGACATTCATTCATAACTCCTCATTCGTACTTCCATTCCACCCAAGCATCTCCCAAAAGTGGCGGCAGGCATGACCTTGGTATTTTCTGACTAGGAAACACTATGGGGACACTCAGGGTGGGCTGCACTCAGTACTATAAACTACACTACCTCACTGACTCTACATGTGGGCCATACTTGCACTCGTCTACCTGTGTCTGTATGGTTCACACACAACTCTGGATCATGCTCGCGCTCGTTTGTCCGTGTGTGCATGGTTCACCTCATGGATGCATGACAACACCTCCAAAGCATATGCACACACATTCACATCTGTAGCTCCCTGTCAGGTCGTAGGTTTACTAAACAATTCCAAACATGTCACAATGCGGCGATCATCTCACCAAAAACAAACAACCAATTTACAGAGCTGGACTAAAACAAAAATTCCCTAAATCTAAATAGTGAGAGAAAAAACGTGATGCTTTCTCGTGTTTGTGGGCATGTGTTAGTCGTGTTCTAGGCTATGCACCTTCAAAAAACCAAAATTGGGTGAGCCCACACCCTAAAATATCCATAATTATCACTAACCTTTCATCTCCCAGTCCAGCTCATGCAAGATCACGTAACAATTGTAATAATTAGTATAATATCAAGGTCGTAGTAGTAGAGCAGGAACAGGCTGCGGTTTCAGGTTCAGGTTTTCAAAAGCATCTGTTGATGCATAGTATGTATTTAAGAACAGCAGTGATTATCGTTGTGTAGGTGTGTGTGTGTGTGGGTGAGCGTGTGTGTGGGTGAGCGTGTGTGTGGGTGAGCGTGTGTGTGGGTGAGCGTGTGTGTGTCTGTGTGTGACCGTGTGTGAGCGTGTGTGTGTGTGTGTGTGTGTGTGCATATGCGTGTGTGCATGTATGCGTATGCATGTGTCTGCCTGTATGGACATGAGGGTGCACGTTGAGATTGGTGTACGGTGATGGTCCTGAATTGTGTGCAAATGGGGACGTAGAGCAGTAGAGTAGCAGTAATGGTTGCATTGCATGCTTCAAGGGATCCCAGAAAAAGGGATATTAAAACTGGGGAGGGGAATTTCCCTAGAAGTAGGCCCCATGCAAGGGTCACCAGGTCATGCCTGTTTTTTCTTCGCACTATTGAGCGCCTATGTTGCTTGTCCGACAAAATATTTTCTGTGTGCGCCGGGGTCGCCAGTTTCCTCGCTATGCACAGCTGATGTCACATGTTTCCTGCCATCCATTTAATTTATATTTACGGTCGTTGATGATAAGCCACGGGTGGTGTTGAAGTGTTTGGTTGTTGTTGCTGGTGCGATCACAATAGTAGCCCAACAAGTGGGCATGGTGGCCAACTTGCAGCTGAGTCTATCAAGAAAGCCAGCCCGGGAGGACGGATGCATCTTCTATCTTCTACCAAGTCCTGGTGGCGTGCAGATCCACCTGGTGGCGTGCAGATCCACGTAACACGACAACAACAACACTGCATTGGTGCGGACTGATTGGACGTCCAGCTGCAGTAGATGCCCCATCTACTACTTGCTATTCCACACTACAGCAATAGCAGTCATAACCTCGCGCAATGGTAAGCATGCGGCAGCACAGTTTGAACAGACCCCGACAGTGGTCATGCTGAAACGACAATGTTCAGCACTTCAGGATTCACAAGTATGATGCGCTCCGCATTATCATCAATACCAAATCGTCAATGAACTTGTGAATACCCAACATACGTTATCACTGGACTAGCAAGGTATTGGTCACTGCATTTGTGTGTGAAGCTCTGACGGTCTGACCTGGCTCTGATCTTTCCAACCATTTGAAAACCCAGCGATAGTCTAGTGCCGTTGGCGATGGCAGGAGGGTTAGTAGAGGTTGGAAGTGAAGTGCTGGGGAGGGCTGGAGGTGTGGAACATGCATTTGTTGGGAACGGTGCTTTGTAACTCCTGTGAAAACGTCGCTATGCCGAGCATTGATCTCCTGTCGCGGACTATACACAGCGACCAACACCAACAGATCAACCATCCTATACGCGTCGGTCTATTCTGCAGCTAAAGACATCTCTTCCTGCAAGAGGAGAAAGTATCTGCTAATTGCTACAGATGGGTTCTGTGCTATCTTGACTATGCAGCAAGTGGAATTGTTATCTGTCAGCAAAATCAGGGAGTCTAGATCTGGTCATGACCACCTAACTGCACAAATACAGGAGAGGTGGATTCTGTCTGCTATGCTGCAACCCAGCAACCAAGCCGTTCAGCAATCCGTCTAGCAAGCCGTTCAGCAAGCGGTCCAGCAAGCAAGCCTGCCATCACTACGCTGAGTGATAATCAACCCAGTAGTAATGCCAGTGATCGCACCAGTCAGCTCCCTCTCTGCATGGAGGGAGCTGGTCTTTCTTTTCAGTCTGTTGTCCATTGTGTGTGTGCGCGTGCGAGTGCGTGTGGATGCTTTCAGTGTCCATGCTAGTTGGTGTTGCGGCAAGGTGGTGTTGATTACGCTATTGCGACTCTGGTGGTGTTGCTACACGCAATGGTGACGGTGGTGGTGTTTCTATCGCTATATACAGTAATGCCGTCCTGGTCCAATGGTAAACACCCGTGGCTTTTAGTCTAGGTTTAGGTAGAGTTTGACATATTTAGTCTAGGTTTAAGTAGGGTTTGACATATTAGTCTAGGTTTAAGTAGGGTTTGACATAATTTAGTCTAGGCATTCTTCTGTAGTGTGCATTGTGTATTATTGCTGTGTGTATGTGTATGATGCAGTGTGTTGTCTGAGTCCTCGGTGTCTGTCATATCATTACTATGGTAGGACATGTGACTAGGCTGTGCCGCTAGCGACCACCTCGACCCTCCCCCGAACCCTGCAATGCGGTCATCAAGACGGGCGCGATACAATCTACAACTGCCCCCATTAACCCACTGCGTTTTGCTGTACTAAGCGCGGTCATCGCTGGACCTCTAGACGTGGCCGTGTTGGAGATCGTAGTTTGTCATAGTCGGTCAGCACGTGACCACGGACCTTGGTAAGGTGCTGTGAACCCAAACTGGTGTTCACATAGGCTCAGAGTAGTAGTCTAGGACCACAACACAATGCAAATTATTATTTTCGAGAACACTCGTCAGTGTTCAAACTGGGATACAAAAAGAAGAAAAAAGAAACCAAACCAATCCAAAAGAAAACGTGCCGTGAGCATACTGTGTGCCATATTTGTCCGTGATAGCCATTTTCATAACATCTGTACTCGTGCCGTGTACTTCACATTTGTCACTGTCTAATGTGCAAATTCTATTTCATCAATTCACCATTCCTCAGATTGTCAGTGCGAGCCAACTGCTTGCAGTGATTATCAGTTTTGTAGACCCTTGTACAGTGTTTTGTTGGACTGTGGGCAGCTGCGTTCCAACTTGAAGTTCTGGGTGGAGGCTGCGAATTGTAGTGCATGCTAGGAAACGCTCTCCGGTCCGTCATCGCCATCCCAAAAAAAGTAGCTAGTTTGCACTAGACAGCTTCTTGTTGGGCACAGCTGCACATATGTCCCTTGTAATGTATTGTACTCAGTGCTGGGGATTGTGTGGGGCCCACCCTCATTTTATGCCTCCATTTATCATATCGCTGCCAACTGTTTTCCACATTTCATCGTTCTCCTCAACAAGAACAACACACTAACCAACTAACCATTCTCTTCTTCAGGTTTCTTCTTCTCTCCCAACAGGTCTTGCACTAACCATGTGTTTCCTTCCACAGGTGGGCTGTGGGGTAGGGTGGTGTGTGCATTGACTAACGCTGTACTTTCCTTCCACAGGTGGGCTGTGGGGTAGGGTGATGTGTGCATTTACTAACACTGTACTTTCCTATACAGGTTTACAACATGGTAATGACCGAAAGTAAGTTCTGAGGGTAATTGCTAATGCTGCTCTGTGCTGTGTTTCACTTCTGCGCGAGTTAATGTGCATTAGACAAAGGGATGGTGGCCTGCCAGCCTGGATGACAGCGGCAGAGATGTTCCACTATCATTCCATCAACTCTGTAGTCCACCCGTCATATGGTGCTGTGATCTCTCCAACGCTGTCATCAAGTTTGCTGAACGGCTACATGAGAACGGCGTTCACACTACCTTTGCTGTTGGTTCCAACCCTGAGCACTCGCTACCACTGCCATACTGCCTGTAGCTGGTGATGGTCATGGAGGAATGCTGGATGATTTACACTTGATAGATCAGTCCATACGTCTGCAAAGGTAAAGCAACTATCTATGACATGACATCAGTTTTCAAGGGAACTGATCACCATGTGTACTTATTTACCGTCATAGCACTCGACTTGACACCCCCCCCCCCCTCCTATCTATTCAATTTTCCCACACTGCCAGTGGACTATTCCAAGCGAAGAAAATTAATTATTAAGTTTGGGCCCTAGGGTTGCCCCTTCCCCTTTCATCATTTCCTACTTAAATATGGGTTCAAGGAAAAGCAGCTGTAATGTAGGGTGCCCCGTCATATTTTTACAGGAGTACTTCTGTTGTTTCTGATGCCATGTTTAGATGTGAAGTACGATGCAAACCAATACGCATACTGATGTGCTCATCTTCAGTGTTCACCGAGAACCTGCAGCGTCACGCCCTGTGCAAGTCTGAACAATTGGTCTCGAATTCCATCACCATACTAGAGTCATATAGCCCTTGGGTCATCTAACCCACCATGCCGTCGCTACTATTGCAATCTATCGTCATCGTGAAACGTAGGTAACTGTTGCTGCCACCAATTCTTCTGACCTTTGACTGCCATCAGCATAGCGAATCTCCACCAAGCTGCTTACCTGGCCACCATTCAGTAGGCAGTCAAGTCAATGGATGCGCCGCCATGCCTTGAAGTATGATACGGTAAGCAGAACAATATTAAATTTACAATGTGCTTGTGGCCTACACGGATCGGGAGTCAAGTCTCCCCCTCCCCACCCCAGATTTTCATCATTAGATGTTGATGTTGATTCATTCACTACGTAGTAAGTCCCTTGATGTAAGTGTTCTCGAAAGGTTAAGTGTGAAAAGTGCACCCGGATGTCTCATCAGCACTGTATCTATGCTACGTTTACGGTCAAATTGTTAGGTACTAGTAGTTGACAAAGTGGCAACAGCTCTCTGACAGTACATGCAGTGACCCTTGGGTAGAACACAACATATCAGACCTATTTGAATTCAGAGGGAAAATACTATAAACTCTTTGGCCGGGTGCTGTACATGTACAACCTTAATCTGCTAAAGGTATTGTCATGGTGTAGGAGTATAGCCAATACACCATGATTGGAATGTTAAAATACTTGTCTGTCGCTCTTTGTGTGTGCCTTGCCTATCCAGATCCGCCAATCACTTCCAACCGTAACCTTGGCAGACACTTCGCCACGGTCCAGGTGGCATGGATGATGTGCTGGTCAATGAAGAGCTCAACGCCTTACGGCATGGGCTCCCCCTTCCTGCCTCCAGCTAGTGTGCCGTATCCGCTTAGTAGTCGGTGTTCCATTGCAGACAGCAGTCATCCATGAGAGTTCATAGATCTTGTTTCGTGAGTCACAACAGTCACTTTAGTTTGACAGTACTGGAGCCTTGTTAGTCGGTGATCAGAGTGTGTAGCAGTTTTAAAAGGCAGGAGGGGGTTAGGTGTGTGGTGCACACCAGACAGTGCCCTGTACATCTAACCCCAGGACATTGTACAAACCGCCATGTTGTCGCTGTCTGTGTTCGAGCTTGGCTGACTTTGTACATGGACAATGACAGGTATAGTAATCGGAATTATTAAGGGTTCTGTCTGTATCTAATTCTGTCCATCCATTTGTGTGTGTGTGTGTGTGTGTGTGTGTGTGTGTGTGTGTGTGTGTGTGTGTGTGTGTGTGTGTGTGTGTGTGTGTGTGTGTGTGTGTGTGTGTGTGTGTGTGTGTGTGTGTGTGATTGTATGTGCGTGGCTGTGTGTGCATGTGTGCTTGCGGTTGTTTTGTATGTGTTTGTTTCCGTGTGTGTGTGTGTGTGTGTGTGTGTGTGTGAGGGTGCATGTGTGTGCGTTTTTTGTCTGTGTGTGTATGTGGGCGTTTGTTTTGCATGTGTTCGTTTTGAATGTTTTTGTTTTTAATGTGTTCGTGTGTGCGAGCGCATGTGTGTGCGGGCGCATGTGTGTGTGTGTAGGTGCATGTGTGTGTGTGTGGGTGCATGTGTGTGTGGGCGGGTTTGTTGTCTGTGTGGGCGGGTTTGTTATCTGTGTGTGCACGTGTGCATGTGTTTGTTTTGCATGTGTTTGTGCAGATTTGTTTGTCTGTGTTTTTGTATGCATGTGAGTGCATTCCTTCTGTGGTCACGTGAACTGAATGAATACGGTGATATTACACTCCATGATGTAGATATGTCGAGTGTGTATGCAGGCTTCAGTCCAGATCTGCTACATTGGCATGCACACCTTCTCATGGTCTTTCTCTCTCAATTGTTTCCTGTTCCTCCTTCCACTATCCCCTCTTCCAATATCCAACTTCATCTTGGCATATTGTTTTTCATTTCTGGCATAGGGTCGGGTACATTCCCAGCTTGAGGATTGCTAGTTGCCGAGGATGGTGGAGGTTGGTTTTCATTTGCCCGAGGATTGTGGAGGTTGGTGTTCATTTGCCTGAGGATTGTGAAGGTTGGTGTTCATTTGCCTGTCTATGTTTGTAGATATTAGAGTGCACAGTCTCACTTCTGTAGGCGTATCTGTACAAAGCCACAAAAGCGAATTTTGGCCGTAATGTCAGATCGGCTAGCATAGGTTTGACGCTCGTTAGTCACTCGCATTGCCTCTATAAAGGCTGCATTCATCTCTAGTGGCAGGTGACCCTATCATATTGCCCTTGGCAGAACAAGAGGCGAGCTAGCTCTAACTTATACCCCAGGACCGGCGTAGCCGCTCCATGGCCGGACCAACTTTTCGGCCACCGACGATTTTTTTTACGACGCAGTAACGTTATGACAGTTATTGTAACTTGTTGTGATCTTCGATTTTACATGCATGTACGCGTCCTTGCGATCTCGCTCTGATCTTGCCGTGCACGCGTGCGCGCGCTTGAGTGCTAGCTGTGGCCTGTGCACGTGGGCCTGTGGCACAAGTCGCGTGACCTGAAAGCACGTGCCATGATGGATTCCACATTGTAATAATTATTTGTAGTCTTGATATGAGGGTTTTTCGTCGAGTACTTCAGATTCTTTTACTGAACGAAGTAGTTTTTCAAATTTTTCTCGCTGTTTGGTCAGCTTAGCTGCAGTGCATGCTTAGCAGCTATGGCTTCTTCCAGCGAAATATCTGTGCCAGAAGTGCCAGTCCACCAACCACTTCCTTCGCGTTTCCTCGGCAGGAATTTGGGAAAAAGACAGTGGTGAAGCGCTCTTGTCAGGCGTCATATTTCAAGACATGGTCTTGGTTGACCTACGATGAACAAAGAGACGTTGTGTTGTGTCACACGTGTGCAAGTGCTGTGCTGCCGAAAAAACTTGGCCGGACCATTCAACAATTGCTTCCGCCGGGCCTGCACCCTACTGATAGTATTGTTTCATTCCAGGAATCAAATACACCTGTTACCGTAGACTCCCGCGTATAAGCCCACCCGCATATAAGCCCATGCTCGCGCATAAGCCCAGGTCATTTGAACATCACAAAGCTTCGTCGTAGAAGCGCATGGGCCAAGGTCGTACCATGATGTATGTAGTAATGTATATCACTCGTATCAATCACACTTCCGCCTTGAACTTAGCAAAAGCATCCTCAGTTCATCAAACATGTCGGCACAAACAAAAAACCCTGGATACACATTTCACGATCAAGAGTAATATGGGAGGGATACGGAAACGCTTCACCAGGTAATTATGCAGAGTATAATGGCAAATCTCCAAAACAGTCCGAACTATTTCACCTAATCATTGTGTTCTTTTCTGTGGCATAAGCAAGCGGCGAAATTAAAAAATGTAACATATATTAAGTGGACAGCCGCCATGCTTGTAATTATAGCAGAGCATCTGCATTGAAAGAACGTAGATTGTCCTGTTCATCGCTGCAAACAGACGCCCTGCTTCTTACACGGTATTGGGATGACTTTTGTTGGCTTTTCTGTCTACAGGACCGGCTGAAGCAGTTTTTGATTGGTCTGGCCACACCCTAGCCTTTCATACAGTTCGTGTGTGATGTGGAGGGTACACATGACAGGGGCGTCGGAAGGTATTTTAGTGTGGTACGGTCAGCCATCTGAAGTACAATTTACTCGTGGAGAGGGATGGCTGAGCCAAAAAATTTGGAAATTTAGAGCCCAAATCAGTGCATTTTATTGATTCACGGGGTACTTGGGGCAAATAAGAGTACAGTCAATACTGCAGCGACCGTACCGTGTGCGACACCCCTGTAGGACCTCCTCAGCAGTAAACACATGCTGGTGGTCGAAAAGTTGGTCCGGCCATGGCCTGACCAGACCGGTTCTGCCGGGTCTGATCTAAGCTGAATTTAATGACGTGTCTGCGCCTTGATCCAAGAGGGTGGTGGCGTTCCTGCGGATGCGGAAAACTGGGCCTTTGGCCGAGTCTCACGCGAACCGTGAAATTTTTTTTTTTTTTTTTTTTAGTCCACAGATTCTTCCCTGCATCACAGGTGTACTACTGAATGGTAAATGTCTGAGCTTGGTCATCCATATTCTAGTGCATACCCAATGCTGTAGACAGCAAGCTGTTTCGGCCATCTAGGCATCTAGGCCTATTACATACGCTCCTTGATGCTTGAGGGTTCAGAGTCTGAAACTTACCGTTGAAGGCTATCATATTTCCAGTTGCCTGCAGCTATGATGATGATTGTGTGAGAGGAGGCACTTTGCATTGATCCACCAGCCGTTTTCTAATGAGCACATCAGAACAAGATGTCGAGAAAATCCATTTACGGTCGAATTGCTTTCAACCAGAAGAATATGAAACAGCAATCCTCTATGCCCTGTTGTAAGCTAGTCTATGCAATAAAAAAGATAATTGCATTCAGTGAACAGAATGAAAGCAATATGTGGAGTAAGTGTGTTGTGTTGGCAATCAATCTCAGTTGTTTGATGGCGTTGTCGCCTCTAGTCTCTCAGCGGTATGATCTTTGCTCAATCAAGATGCCCGCCATATGGCGTCGAATGATCGGTTCTCTAGTATGCCAGTTCCTCAACTGACAGACTTGTATTTGCTGTTGCTACAATGAACGCGGAATTTCCAAAGATAATCATCCGCCCCACTTATCCGATTTTGCATTTAGAGCGGATGACTCTCATTCCAGTACCTATGGGTTCTACAAATTACATACACAGTATGTATACCCAATTCGGGGATACATTTCACAACATTCTTTCCTGAAGATTGGGCTTGGACGAAACTCGGATGACTCTATTCTTCATTCCTGTTCCCAGAGACCACTTGAAGGGTACTGACGTGTTGTGCGGTTACATATACCCAAGCCCAGAAAATAACAATAACATGACTATGTGGGTCCCTGGTGGTGACAGTCAATTTTTTCTTCAGACTTTTCCCGATTGCGTCTTTTCCTCAAAGCAGTGGATATCATGAATGTTATTACAATGGATTTGTCAATGGAATGCTGGCCAAAGAACCAACACCATACATGCCAACATCATTTGCAGCAATGGTGTTTAAGATACATGTCTGTGAGGTGGGCTTCCAGCCGAGTCTCACGCGAACCGTGAAATTTATTATTTTTATTTATTTATGTGATGTGGGCGATGATTGATGTATACAGAATATGATACGGCATGACCCGCAGATACTCCCTGAGTCTAGCCCTTTCCGAAAGATGCTCGCCACTTTGTTCGCAACCTTTTGTTGTTCAGGAAGAAATCGCAACTTTCGCAACTTTTGCAACTTCCTTCATTTTCACTACTTCAAGTACTTCGCAACTCGCAACCGTGAGCAGAGAAGAGACCATTGAACTGTCCGTGATGCTCTGATTCAACAAGAAGACACCATAATGTATGTGGCAGTACTGGGCATGCCACTATGTTATGAATGCTGTGTGAAGGTTCAGCAAAAACGGACAATGACTCATTCCAAGAATGTTCATTTTCCTATAGGCTATAGCTATCATGTGTTTACTCTGTGAACGTATGCATCCGTATGTACTTCAAAGCTACATGCACATGTAGTAGCCGTGAGTTTACTCGGGCAGTTGTGCTGCGCCACATTGTTTTCCATGTCCACTCCTTTATTGGTTGCGTTTGGCATCATTATGCACAAGAACTGACTCATTTTGAGTTGCTATACTAGAACTTTTGAGTTTTTCTGAAATTAGAGATGTGATCACTCAGCGACTTTCACTTGGCCTGGCATGGTTGCAAAAAGCACAAGCGGCGAATATTTCGGCATCTTTGGGAAAGGGCTACCTGAGCCTCCCCCTAAACCTTCATTGACCGCTGGATTATTTCCAGAATCGGCATTGGTCTGGATGGAGACATGTACCGAGAGGTCACGTTTTTTTGCGATTAAAAATTCCTTCCATTCAACACGCCATTTTCTCTGCATTGTCCACGCCACACCATTCCTGTTGTTTCATACCTGTACTCGCTGTAGCTTGCTGGGAAGTGTTCACGTGCACCACAGTGTGTCACTGAGCCGCATGGCTCCGGCTCTCCATTCTCACCGCGTACCGCTGCTGAAGCTAGTCCAGAGTTTGAGTCGGCACCATCACGTTCACAGCAAGATTCTAACCCCGGAGAAAGTTGAACACACCACGCGCAGTGTTGTAAAAAAAGTAAAACATTTTTTCCGTGCGGCACGCGCCTCCGCGATACGTTGCCACATACGTACATTCACAGCTAGTACAGTAGTAGATCTACACTACTATGTTATTATGGTTACTACTACTACTACTACTAGTACAATCGTGTACCATTGTGTCGAGTTCTCCTCCTCATTTTAATTCATCATGCAGTGAGTGTTCAATAGTAACAAAAATATAAAAAAATAAAAAATTGTGATTACATCATCAGTTGACATGCTTTGGTAAGCAGTTCACATGTGCACACTGCACAGCATTATTACTAGGGATGCACTGCCGACCCACTCCAATACTGCAATAGAACCCAGACTCAGTAGCCTAGAACCTTAGTTAGTAGAGGCGATAAGCGATTCCGCTGTATACTTGGAACCCATGCAGTTTCAGAATTTTGCTGACTCCTTGATCTACATGACGGAACATGTTGATTGTACAATCATGTTGTTGGTGAGACAGCATGAAACAAGGTGGAGGACAACGTGTTCGGAAACAGTGACCGTTTGTGTCCTCCACCTTGTTCCATGCTGTCTAACCAACAAACATGTGTGAACTAAAACAAGGTTTAGCTAATACCCTGATTGTACATGCACATTATGACTTCTTTCGCATACATAGCCTCCAAGGCTCCATACAGACTACAGTGTAGTGTTGTGTAGTGTAGTGCGCACTTGTAATCAGCAGTTAGGTGAGGAGTGCCATGGTGCATGGCACTCTGTCCATGGACCAGACGCTACATTGAGTAAAATCTATCAAAGCGACCACTCCTAGTAACGGCGACCAACTATCCTAGAAAACATAATAATTATTACATGAGTTCTCGTACAGGGTGGGTCAAGCCCGCAGCGTAGCTCGCTGGGCATCCCATTGCGTTGTCAGTTGCTAATCCTTTCCCCTTTTGTGTTATCACACTAGGTAAAAGAACATGAGTGCACGCGACATCATATACCAGGTTTGTTTGGGCTGCTTTTCACACTGCTTGACTTTGAGAACGTCATGAAACATTTTCACGGGATTCCCCATGGTGACAGCTTACGTCACTGACGGCGGGAAAAGTATGAAGTTACATCCGCACAAGAATTTCAAGAAATTTTGGATTCATGATCGCTCGAGAAGGCGAAGGAGAAACAAAAAATCCCTTTTTCACTTCTTTGTTGAAGAATGCCTCCTGTTCGTGATGATAGGCGGCGAAGAAGACTTTTGGCGTTGATCTCACGGCCGAACACTCGAACAGGTGATGCAGGAACAGACAGCACCTGCGTTGAGCTCAATGAGCTAATGGGCCCATAGCCTGGTACGTCCGAAAACGTTTTGTGCCACAGTTGCCCCACTCGCCACCTGCAGCTGCGAGATCTAAATTGCCTGCATTGCCACCACAACCATCACCTACAGCTGCTCCGGTTTGGGTTGAAGCTGTGTACTTCTTGTAGAAATCTCTCGCCTTCGACTTGAGAATTGAGGTCGATTTTATTGCTGACAACCTTGAGCGAGAACTCATGCTCGTTCTTCTCCCCATATAGTTGCACAGCATACTTGTTGAGAGCCTGCACCACCTCCATCTCCCTCACTTTTCTTTTGATCAGCTGACCGCCTTTCCTCCGCTGCTGCTCGCCCCACAGCTCGATCAATTTTTTTTCTAACTCATCGTTGAAGTGAACCAAAGGCATTGTCCAGGAGAGTTGAGGAAACGCTCGACCAACACGACGGCCACAACAAAAAAACTCTTCACGAATGTGAAAACGGAAGAATGGCACTTTCTACAGGGGTCCTCGCTTGTCGTAAAAGGCACGTGCGCCGTTTTCATTTTAGCGCCATTTTCCACCCATTGTCATGACGATTTTCATGGAAATGTCACTTATACGGCGTTTTTTAGCTCGTGTGAAAAGGCCCTAAGGGCTTAGGGCTAAGTGCCTTTCATTTTCTTCTTTTCCCTCTTTCTTCCGTGATTGCTTTCACCCTCTTCTCAGATCAATTGGCTGTCTTGAAATGCTACGAGATGCAGGAACAAACAACTATACATACCGTAAAGTCGCGGATAAAAGCCGGGTTTGCATACAAGCACATCGCGGATTGAAGCCTGAAAATCAAACGGGTCAAATGCATTATAAGCCTGTCGCGCGTAGAAGCCTGGCTTCTGTGCAAGCGCGGATCGTGTAGGTCAAGAGTGCATGCACTATGTACAGTGCATAGTAAACGTGAATACAAGCCTGGCAAAAAATATCAGTAGTGCATAATTATAAGCATGGTTTGCATTAAAGCCTGATGCAGAAACCGGCTTATGTGCTTATAAGCCCGGCTTTTATCCGCGACTTTACGGTATACATGATTGTAGATAAGAACGCGCCTTTCCGCTTCTGTGAGATGCCATCACCCCATGATCAGGCTTCAGATACGGCTCCTATACGGTGGGGGGGGGGGGGGGGGGAGTAGATCTGATCCATCAAACAGAGGCCATGGGCCGAAATCCCATTTGCTACATCCATATTTTCCTCGTGCCAGGCCGCAAGTGTTCACCCAGATCGCCCAGAATTATGGCTTTTGAGTATCTGTACAATAACTGTACAAAGTGTCCCTGTACAAATACATGACATCTCTCAACGCAGTACAGTCAACTTTCAAATGCGTTTTTCTCGACACTGCATACAACGCTACAGGTCCAATTTTCGGATCTTGAGCCTTGAACAATATCAGACTCTGGCTGGTGATCGGATTCCCAAGGGATGGAAATGATTTTTTCGTCAACCACCGCACTAGAACTGAGCATCAACTACTGTTGTCACTTGCTGATGGTGTGCTGTGGCAACGTGTCAAGGTCGGCTGTAGAGCGCAGCTGTGGTGCAGTGGGTGACGGCAAATCTGCGCATGGCTAAATCCTGCTGATTACCACTAAGTAAGTTATGGAAATGAATTCGTCTAATTCAATAGGTTCAGCATCGTTAAGTTAAGTCATAACGACTGCCTGATCATGTGCCATTTCGTCTAATTTAATAGGTTCAGCATCGTTAAGTTAAGTCATAACAACTGCCTGATCATGTGCCATTTCGTCTAATTTAATAGGTTCAGCATCGTTAAGTTCAGTCATAACAACTGCCTGATCAAGTGCCAGGTCACTGGTCCGTAGTACCCCGTACATGTACATGTAGCACACCAGAAGTGAAGGTAAGTGGTGACAGTCAATGGCCGACATTCCGCAAGAGCGGCAGATACATCCAGTGATACAGGTGTGTGAACACAAGCTACTACTACTACATCGTGCCAATATCAATGCAATGATGCTGGGACCACCAAGGTTGCCCAGTCATGCATGCGCATCCTGGTACTGATATGGATTGAGCTGGAAGAGCATACCGTGTGGCGTGACTCACACATTCCTGTACATGTAGTACACATTGGTTGCTTCATCAATAGATTAGCACAATATCGCAACCCCGGATTCTTGTGGTCTGAAATGTTCAGGTCGGGTCCTCAGTGCCGTCCATGCACGTGTGAAACAACTTGCCTTCTCACGGGTGGTCCTAGGAAAACTCCGGTCCACCAAGTTACCTGTACCTGAGTTGGTACATGCTCTCGTTTACTGATAAGCAGGCCGGTGTAGTTAGGGACTTTAAAAACAGTTCGTTGTGCATCTGTACATGTGCTGTCCCAACTGACAGAGGTTTGGCGTATTTGGACACATTTGTTGGACTGATTTTTGAGTGGCCGGTTGGATAATGGTAAAACAGGTGCCGGTGTAAAGTAGCTAGGACTTACTAGTACCGTATTGTACCGCCAAAGCGCCTCGTCTCGCGGTAGTAGTATAGTAAAACCTGTCAAGGCGACCACTCTGATAAGGCGACCACTCTGATAAGGCGACCACCTGTCCAAGAAGACCATTACAGCCAGGACCAAGGGATGCCATTTCCAGTCAAATGACCCTGGATAAGGAGACCACCTGGTAACAGAGACCACATTTTGAAGGTCCCTTGAGCGGTCGTCTTAGACACGTACTAGTAGGCTACTGTAGCTGGGTTTAATAACATGGGCACACTAACGACGAAATGGAGCTGTTGGAATAGGGTGGGTGCAATAGCATCTTGCAACTCATTAATTAAGCATAGTAATAACTATATTGAAACACCATTCGTCACGCATACCCATCATGAAGCACATCAGGCTACGCCTGCACGAGCATATCCACTGATTCGGGAGAGATTCCACATACGTTGCAGGTGCACTGCTCCGATTGTGCTGACAACGCGATCCCTTTAGGAGAGTTATCAGCTAGCTAGAACACTGGCCATGGTTACTGTTGCTCCTTTGGATTGGCAAAACAATTCGCCCACCCATGGCGCGAGTACAAAGTATTGAACACGTTGCTTTACACGTCGGACCAGTGCTGGCATGGCGGAAACAGGAACCTGTGGCCTATCGATGGCAGAAGAGCGCAACCTGCTCTCACTTACATGTAATCAATGGGAGACAGACAAAACAATGCAATAGTGCTAGTGGGGCGTGTGGAAGAAAGGACCATGGCTGCAGTTCCTGGATACTTCTGTAGCTGTGTCTCACTTGAAGTAGGAGCAGGACGGAAGCCCCATTTGCATTTCAGATGCTGTGATTGCAGAATGACCTCCTGATAAATCGCGTAGAGTTACACCTACATATGTGGGGTGTTAATTAAGCACCACCGCATGCACACATTACATAACAATGAAGATACTGCCCTCAAGCGAACGCTTCTTGTGCGTATGGAACAAAGTCACGACGGACAGCAAATGAAGTTAAGAGCGTGTACATGCTCGGGAGGTATGCCCTCTTGTCAAGAGTGATAACATGTACGTGCTCATTGCGTGTGCACTGTTCTCAACAGCAACCTTTGAATTGAGCCGCGGGGAGTCCATACGGTAGTACAGCTACTTAGAAAGTACTTGTGTGCTGCTACATTCACACAATCACATGCATGTC